ACTTGGGGTGAAGAAAAAGCTACCATAACTTTGCAGTGGTACTTGCAAATGAAACCTGAGGCATGTGTGCTCTTCCTTTATGTTGAATCATCTATTCTGTACTATTCTTTGATATTGTGTCATAGCTAGATAGCTGCATACGCAATTAAAATCTCATGCAAAAAAAAGTGGTAGGTCTAGATATTTCCAGGGAATAGTCGACAAATTTGTCATGGACTGTCAGCAACATCGGTCAGTGGAAATTCGGTGGATAACAGGGCACTAAGGGATAGAGGAAAATGAGATGGCAGACAAGCTTGCCAAAGCCGCCCTAATTAAAGTCCCAAATGAGGTGACCAATGAGGCACCCCCCATGGAGGTGCCCCGTAGAATAAAGATTACGTTTGCATCACTCCACAGATTTGTCACGGAGCGCGCGGAGAGACTTATAGTAGCATGGTGGCAGAAAAATGCGCCAAAGTACTATACGGACTTAGATCTTATGATGAATCGGAAGCGACCTCCAGAACTTGCTCTACCGAGATGGGCCTACCACAGGCTGATTGCAGCGAGGACTGGGCACGATGATTTCGCCAATCACCATGAAAGGTTCAAGCATAAAAATTTCGAAGCCAAATGCGAGTGCGGTCGAGAAAGACGCCCTTGGTACTTTGAAGAATGTCGACCGGCCCTACAACTGTGGAGAGGCATTATGTGAAGGGACTTCACCTTTGTTGTTCACAATTATGGGTCGAAAAATGAATTTATATTTTATCTAAGGAGGAGAATATCTACGAGGCGCGCGCAAGATGTTTTGTTCCAATTGAGCGCGTTTTCCCGTGACACTAGCGCACCTTTGTTCATAGACGGAGCCGGATAGTTCCGGATCCACATACAAGGCTACAGCCTGTAACACATGAAACGGGAACCTCCCCCGAGGGCAATTGAGATGCTTGGAGGGAAAGGTTGGGAAAAATTTATCGAATATGCAACTGTAACGAGATGTTGCAGGGAAAAGGCCGTAGATGGAGAGTCATAAGCTCCCCCAGGAGTATCTGTGGTTATTTTAGGATTCAATTGCTGGGAAGAATAGGACACTGCGCAGGGCGCTTTTGTTTGGACACACTATATTGTTTTCTTATGTTTATTTCTCATGGTTTCTTTGGCAAGTAAAGCCATGCACGTTGGTAGTAGTGAGTCTATATAGATCACATACTCGTATCACGCATTTTGGGTGTAGGGCACATGCCTGATACGAATTGCAATGAAACTAAAACTCAAACTTGCTTGCGCCTGCGAGATAAGAGAGGACGAAGGCTGAACACCTGTCAGTGTTGTCCCCTACGAACCAGGGAGTGAAATATTCTCCCAGAGCCCAGATTCAGTCACGAAAAAGGGTGGGATTTATTTTTTTTGGTGGCTTTTCGACTTGAAGGAGTTGCACTCGGTATTTTGGTCGAAAATTCAGACGATAGAGATTTTACAACTGCAAGAAAGTCGAACAAGAACTCATCACCACTAACATACGATTCACGAACGGATTTAGGTCTGTCTGGGGGTCGTATTTAAACATCCAATATCTCTCATACTCCTTATATATCTGCGATAATCCATTTCTAAGTTGATTCTACACCTGCGACCCATTTCCATACTCGCCCGATCACCTACCTACACACGCCCTAATGAGGAAAGTCATGATGGAAACGGGACGTGTACAAAGGAGGAAGAAGAGGGAAGATACACTGAGGGGATTACACAAATCCCCAATGACGAAAACAACCCAACGGTACGATATGAAGGTCCAAGGCTAGAGCAACGATGAGATCTAGGACTACATTTATATTTCGGAGTTAATGAGGATGTCAAGGGCTCGAGCGCGTGGTGGCCGAGGCTGAAGAGAAATTTGCGCTCTGTCGTGTCAAAAGGGGGTTCTCTGGACGGTTAGGCTTGGTATGATTCAACACATAGGTGAAGTCTGAGGTGGTCCGGTCATTAGAGTGGGACGAGGTTTATCGGTACTTCACGTTAGTTAACCTGCTCCGGCCCGACCCCACTCGTGCTTAAGCTCCAATATGAGTGCAACGGCAGTCATGTAACCTAGCATGTCAAAGAACAAACCAAACCAAACCTGCGAGATCAGTGTGGGCCCTGTAGCCTTAAGTAGCTCAGCCATTACTAACCGGGACTAGCCCGCAACATTAAGGCGCTAAATCAAGATCATGAAATCAAATTCAAATGTGAGATTAGTTGGGTGTACTCTGCACATCCCTGCCCTTACCATATTAATTCATTTTATTGTCCTGTCTGAGTCTATGACTACGTAGGACATGCAGGTCCTCTCTGCCTACAGGCCAAGGATACCTATACCAGTAGTATATCCCCTCCTGTACCTCCCATACAACTCCCCTCAAATAGTACCACCCCTCACAAGTCCTCATTAGATCATACACTAAGAGGAGCACTTAGCCCTTCATTATCTCCCCTCTCCAGCCAACGAAACAATGGCCATTTGCGGGTGTATGGCAGCCGGGAAAATTCGCAAAAACCACTGCGTGCGGGGCTCTTCTAATACCGACATTAGGAATAAATCCGAAGACATATTGCCCCTTCTGAAGCGTTCGAAGAGGCCGGCCAGCTGGGCGCTGCAGACTTGCGGGTACCTCTGGAAATTCACCCTCTGCCTTTCTAGCCTCCTTCCAACTCCTTCCCGAAGGTCGTGCTGAAATGTCAGAAAAGTCTTGACAGAGCGTGACTGCTGTGTAGTAGCTTGGCCCAACTTCTTTTGTGGCATCCAGGGCGCTGGGGAGTGCCGTTGACTCATCGACAAAAGAAGGCCTCCTGGCTAATTAGTCGAAATCTTAGTCTTGGCGCCCACACAGAATCCAAAGTTGAAAACTCCTCGAAAATGTCAGTCCCGGCATGGTCTTCAAAGACCTGTTCCCCTCTCGTTCCACTTCTCAGCCGTCTGTCATTCCCCAAGATGTACAACCCCATTAGAGCATCATTCCCCCATAAACCAAGACCCCAACTTTGTATTTTTCGACTTGATTTCCTCCTTGCGGGTATAAATAGCGTCGTAAATTTGTAGTGAGTGATGGCCGGTAATGAATGAGGCAAGCTCCTGTTTGCAATTGGGGTGATGCCTTTATCGGTCGGCGAGGCGAGATGATATGTGTTTAGATCGGGGTTGAGGACTCAGAAGATAATGATGAGTGTTGCATGGTTGAGAAGTCGACAAATGGAGATATGCATGTGTTTGCTTTCGACTTCGATTCGGATGCGATTCTTCTTGGCTATCCCAGACATGCAGAGCATACTGAGCGATTACACCGGCACCACTGGAAGGTGAAGAATTCGTCTTTGCCGGCCCTGCCCTTACCATAATTGGAAGCATCAATTTCAACAAGTTTCCTATCTGGTAGTGACTTTAAATTTAAATTCATTTAACCCGATCAGGCAGCCCATGGGTCCATGCAGGTGACTATCTTCATTATTTAAAAATGAGGAAACCAATTTGGTGAACACCAACTGATGCTGCCTGTTTAAATTGCTATCAAATTGTTTATTTTACCTTCAGGAAATGCAGTTTATACTATTCAGTCTGTATAGATACCGTCCTTTTCCCTTCCAAATCGATTTATTATATCCGACATTGCTACCTCAACCTCCCCTGCAAGCCGAAACTGTCTTATCCACCCTTTGCTTAGTATCCACTGTGTGATTCTAGCCACACCTTCTGGGTTGTTAATCATTGCTTCAAATGACCTGTCTTTAGTTAATCAGAGAACTTAACATCTTCCACTTGCCCACTGCGGACACCCCAACACCATGTGCTTGACGTTTTGCGACAGATATCCACATTGACAGCTTGGTTTTTCTACTCCGGCTAATTTTCTTCTTTACAGGTAGAAATTTAGCCCGATATGCTCGCTTCTTAGTTAAATGGCGACAATGCTTTAGGCCCTACTTAGGTTACGGTGGATGTGTAAGGGTGTATCTTTGAAGTTCATTTTTGTACTACCTGTCGGCTCATCGGTAAGTATTTTTCCAGCCTTCCAATGTTCTGGATCGGCTTATACTGGTCGGCCAGCGCGCTGTTTCCTGTTCTGACTTGTCCATGAATTCATCCATTCTTGAAAGGTTGCTATCTGTCCAGCTTCTTTTTGTCTCCCTGTTGGAGTAGTTTCTAACTAGAAACAATTTAGCTATTATTTTATTTTATTTATCTATTTATAATCATCAACGTTTCCTCACTGTCTACAAGAAAATAATTCAATTAATCATATTTAAATAAATCAAAATTAGCTAGTTTCTTTCAGGTAGACCCCAGGAGTCCTCCATAGTCATAGAGTGAGACAGGACTCTAATAGAATCTAATCTAATGATCAACGTCGTGCTCGCGCATAGCACGTGAGCTATTCAAATGCCTGTTTGCACAGTCTTAACGAAAATACCCGACTTGTCGCTGCCTAGATAGACACAAAGTTGTAAATGAAGCCAGAATCTTGTCATCCTACGCACGAAGATTAAAATAAATCTTCATGTCGGCCCTCCGTTGAATCTCACAATTGAATTCTAGCTATTACGCTAAAGTTAGTACGATTGTTACTATCAAGCTAACCACTTTGTTGATACGCATGTGACTTTAGATCACATGCTTATTTTCATTCCTACAGTTATATAAACGCACTCTACAACCTCGTAACTGTGGAAATATCACTTCCTTTACACACAAACAACTATGCCTTCTGATTCAATTGATGCATACAAAATTTTATAGCGTATCTAGTGTATTTCTCCAAGTCTTTAATCGAACAATGGATCTCGAGAGAGTTTCGCATAGAAAATCGTCGTTGTCACACATAAGTTCGGAGCTCTTGTACTCTTATTACAGACATTCTTTTCCCAAACCTTCAAATTTATGCATTACCGCTACGTTCAGTCGAAGTTTCTGTGGTGCCTAGATACAGAAAGAAGGTCCCAGAAGTATAATAACTCATTAAATCTTGCCACAATTAACATTATGTCCCTTCCTCACCGACGCATGGCGATTGATCTTCATGCATGCTAACCTCTCCCATATCTGCTAATCCATACCTACGAATGTTAGCAAGCCACGATTTATCTTGGTGTTCGAAGTTAATTGAGGGACATACCATGAAATTACTATCAGTCCAAGAATCGCAGCAAGACAGCTGAAAGACATAGCAACAATCCCACGGTCAGTAAATCCTGCTGGTAATGGTCCCGGTGCCACATTAGCTCCATCCAAATTTAACAAGTCAACTGTGTTTGCCGCGGCATTACCCGCGATAGGAATACCTCGATGCCTGCAGTTATCAAAATGATTTTCTGAAATAGTAAGCTGCTTTTGGACATCCAGGGGTGCTTCAATTAATGTGGCACTCAAACCCTGTGCCATGTGCCACTCAATATGACAGTGAAACATCCAGACTCCAGGATTATCTGCTCGGAATCGAATCACCATGTGTCCATGGGGATGGAGGAGTACAGTATCACGTCTCATGGGAATGGTTGGGTACTCTGCTTGAGTTACACTGGTTGGATCAAATTTTCCTGACCCATCTCCGGACCGAACGAGAGTCTGAAAATTATGGCCATGTAGATGAAAAGGATGTTTTCCATCATCTTAGAATAAAATTAGAAATAAATTTCATCATAATGTGTTTACATACCAAGATTATTGATTACAATTTCGATAGTCTGCATGCGGTCAATGATATATGAGTGAGTAAATTGGCCGTAGATACGAGAGTCTGTAGCTAAACTACCGCTTGACATAAGTGTGTAAAGCGTTGGAACTTTTGGATGAGTATACGTGATGTTATTGAAAAAGGAGCTGGAAGAATTGTCAGATGATTTGTATCGACAAATAAAAGAGGGATTGTCGTCCTACTATGACCTTCCATTTTCAAGGTTACCCATTATTACATCTAAAACTATGCTTTTATCGGGAGGAGGTAATAGCGGCATTTTATCTAGTGGAATAAGATTTAAATCATCGAAAAAATCGAGTGTTTGCACCGTGGCAGGCTGAGGAATAGGCTTTTCTTTATCATACACAAGGTAGCCAGTTGAGTTCCAGATCAAATTATCTGGAAGGATATCAAATAGGTCCTGGGAGGCTTAATATTTTATCTGCTAAACAGGGTTTAAAGAGGAATCTTACAGTATCCATGCTTGCAACAAATGCATAGTTTGTCGAGCTTTCTGCTTTTGTTCTAAGAAGAAAGCTGTATCTTTGTCCTGCTGAGATGTACAGCCTGTTTACTTCCACCGGAATAGTGGCCACCCCATCTACTTCTACGACGGTCATATTGTGGCCTTCAAACCAGATATATTGTCCTGCAAAAGCGCCCATATTAATCAAATGGAAGAGATAAGTTTTTTCTGGTTGAATGGATATCATTAGGTTCTGAGTATCGTTAATGAGTGCAGCCTGCGGAACTGGTTCGGCACCAGTAGGATTGGTCTTCTCTAAAAATCTGGGGATAATTGTCGTCATTTCTTCGTGATACCAATCCGAGACCGATAGTATTACTTCTTCATCAGCCTGGTACGGTGATTCAGGATCTGTGATAATAAATGGCGCTCGAAGGCCATCGGGGTACTGGCCTTTGTCATGAGAATGATACCAATAGGTGCCTGCTTGATTTGCCTGAATGAAGCTTGAGCCAGTATATTTTGGCTAGAGTAATGAACGTACAGTAAAGTTGTAAGTAAAACGAGCGCCAGGTGCAATTCCACATTGCGTAACCTGGGCTGCACCATCCATGTTTGCAGTTCCATTGTGATGTAGACCGTGAAAATGAAGCGTTGTTGTCTGATTACCTAGTTGGTTTTCTACATTAACAATTACTTGATCTCCTTTAACGGTCTGGATAATTGGCGGAGGCCATTTATTGTTGATTCCAATGGTCGGTCTCTCAAACGCTCCATCTGGGTTCGCTCTAACCCATGTAATGTTGAAGTTATAAACCTGCGTCTCAGCTTGAATGGAAATGATGGAGGATAACAAAACCAGTAGTAAAAGTGACATAGTGAGGCTCTACTCTTATCATGAAACAAATCAGAAAAGAGGAGGGCTTTCTGTGAGATCGTAGTCGTGTCTAAGCATTTTGTCTTCAGCCTTAAGAGCTCGAGACGAAAGGATCTGATAAGATAAATTTGACATTTGATCTGATAAGTGGTTAGGCGATAGGAGCTAGGATCCAGTAGGATCATGTCAGTAGGGATCATCATCCATATCCTGCTAATCAGTCATAATCATTTCCTTGGAATAAGCGGGGAAAGTTTGGAAGCAGAGAGAAATTACTGGTGAGTGTGCTCAAAAAAGAGCGCATCGTAACTCATGGACCAATTAATTTCTGCGGTATTTTCAGATAGGTACCATGTCGGGACTTGTGGGGTGAACTTCCACGCAGCTGTCACTTTTGCAGAAGCATGTCGGGCCGGAATCTCTGGATGCGCTAAACTAGTTTAAGTTATCAGATCCGAGAGCTTCAGGGAGGGATATGATCCCCCTGCCACTTGACCCGCTCAACAAGACATACACATTTTCTACAATGGCGACAATTTAAGATGGCAGCCCTCGCAACGTCCCAAAATTTGTGGTATATTCTTTATTTGTTCTTCAACTTGCAACTATGTCGAACCTCTTTGCAGTCCCTGTCTTCTTTATCGTCTTCCGAGAGACTCTGGAGACTGCCGTTATAGTTTCTGTACTCTTAGCCTTTCTGAAGAAAACAATTAACAATCCTGATAGCGATAAAGCTGTCTATAAAAGACTTGTTCGACAGATATGGCTAGGGACAGCCACTGGACTCCTGATATGTATAATTATCGGCAGTGGGCTGATAGGTGCCTTCTACACGCTTGGAAACAACAGTTGGGAGAAATACGAATACATCTACGAGGGATCCTTTGCCATAATTTCGTCTCTTATCATATCAATTCTTGGGGCGGCTCTTCTGCGTGTTTCAAAGATGCAAGGAAAATGGCGTATCAAGCTAGCTAAAGTCTTAGAGGATCGAGCGCTTACTGTTGAGGGAAAGCGGGCTAGTATCAAACGTTGGTTCGGGCAGTATGTTTTATTCATGGTTCCATTTGTCACTATCATGAGAGAGGGACTGGAAGCTGTTATTTTCGTCGCAGGCGTGTCGTTTTCCGCACCGGCAACAGCAGTACCACTTGCCGTCGCCGCCGGCCTCATTGCCGGTGGAGCCGTAGGCTGGTTAATTTATAAGTAAGTACAATAACAAATATTCGTACCCAAAATCCTAGCCGTTAACCCTAATATAGCGGCGGAAAATCATCGCAATTGCAAATATTTTTAGTCATTTCTACAGGGCTTCTTTACCTAGTTGCCGCCGGACTTTTTTCACGTGCTGTTTGGTTTTTTGAACAGTACAAATGGAACCAAGCCGTTGGCGGTGAAGCTGCCGAAATGGGGGCCGGCCCAGGCTCATACGATATTGACCAGAGTGTTTGGCACATAAATGTAAGTTAATATCTTTAAATTTATCCACCCATATTTCTAACATATAATAGTTTGGCAGCCCACATATGAATGGCGGTGGCGGATGGGGAGTTTTTAATTCTATGCTGGGATGGCAGAACTCAGCGACATACGGTTCTGTAATCTCTTACAACATTTATTGGATTACTGTCATCATTGGATTTCTCGTCATGCGTTTCAAAGAAATCAATGGTCATCTCCCGTTTAGAAAGACTCAACAGCCTGATCACAGTCAAACTGAGAGCGATAGTGACAGAGGAGACATGAAGAAATACACACAAACAAGCCTATTTTTAACTGAGGTTTCACGAATAGAAGAACAAAGATGTAGGTCTACATATTGATATGAAGACCTTTCCAAACTCGGAAATTTGAGTCCTCTACAGCAGTCAAATGCCAGTAAAAATACTCACAAGCCAGATTGCCCGCTTACTATCAGAAAAATAATTCTTGTCCGATATAAGAAGGAGCCTACAACCCGTCGTTAAATGACCAATGTTTTGCTTATACCACTAATTAGAGATCCAGCATATTGTAAAATTTTGAATTGAACAGGCGCCAGGAGAACTTACTGTCTTGAAGTATGTTATTCGCAGGTACAAGAATGATGATTACTAATTTTTTTCAGGAGGAATATCACTCAATGTCACGGATTAAAGCTTTGACTGAAAATTTGCAATTAGATTTGGGAAATCGAGATATTACGATGCTAATGTTTTGCACTTATAGAAGAGATCAATTACCAACTTCATTCTCTGGTCTTTGGGATGTTACACTGTCGAATTAAAACGAAAATCAATAATATCCCAACCAAATGGCGTATTACCCTAGAGAACTCTAAACTACACATTTATATAACCTAAGCCAAAGTACATGCACACTTAAAGAGAGGATCGGAATTTGATCAGTCACCTTCGATTTTATAAGCGGGTGACTGATTGAGATTTACATTTCTAACCAAGGTTCATTCAAAAGCAATTAACCGAAAGTATTCTCAATTACTGGCTTGTATATAGATATAGTATGGGGCTCTATTTTAAACTCTTACAAATTCTCTTCAATAATAGCTCTACTGGTAATATTCCAACCAATCTAGAATTGGTAACGAATTTATGAAATAAACTACTCTCCAGTTGTTGTGCCTTTGGCATGTTCACCAGGCTAGCACTGCCTTATGAAATTTTCGATGGGTTTGTTTCTGTAATCTAAGTGCAGCTATAGTATAAATAGGGGTCGGAACTCCCCACACCGTATTGTAGATCAGTCAACATCTTTCCACACTTTACTCCCATGAAAGACATTCCCACAGCCGGCAAAGACGAATTCTTCACCTTCCAGTGGTGCCGGTGTAATCACTCAGTATGCTCTGCATGTCTGGGATAGCCAAGAAGAATCGCATCCGAATCGAAGTCGAAAGCAAACACATGCATATCTCCATTTGAAGACTTCTCAACCATGCAGCACTCATCATTATCTTCTGAGTCCTCAACCCCGATCTAACCACATATCACTTCGCCTCGACGACCGATAAAGGCATCAGTATTATGACCTAATTTCCACCTTGCGGGTATAAATAGCGTCGTAAATTTGTAGTGAGTGATGGCCGGCGATGAATGAGGCAAGCTCCTGTTTGCAATTGGGGTGACGCCTTTATCGGTCATCGAGGCGAGTTGATATGTGGTTACAAGGAGGTTGAGGACTCAGAAAATAATGGTGAGTACTGGATGATTGAGAAGTCGTAACATGGAGATATGCATGTGTTTACTCTCGACTTCGATTCGGATGCGATTCTTGTGTTCTATCCTAGATATGCAAAGTATACTGAGCGATTACAACAGCACCACCGGAAGGTGAAGCATTCGTCTCTGCCGGTTATAGTCTTCATTATTGGGGTGTAAGTTGGTTCTCAATTTCGCTATACGCACGGGCAATGCCAATGTTTAAATACAAGCGAAGCTTGGAGATAAAATTATGGATATGCGTCTGCTGAAAAGCAGTCTACTGGCACTATTTTGACTTACTTGCCGTAGCTTTTAGAATAACATTCTAGGAAAAGAATTGAGGGTAGGATAACTATTACAAAATCTTCAAAACATAGAATGACCAATTATGATATTTTAAATGCAGATCAAGTCTTTAGTTGAGCGTCATAAAAGTGTTTGATATCCCATCTTACGCAACATTATCTTCTACCCACAGATATTTAGTTACATTTTTGTTCTGTTCTTGTCCAATCTGTTTTAATCTTTGAAATTTAAATCCAACCAGTGACAATCAAAGGTACTCTATCAGAACTACAATTTCACAATAAAATGATATAATCTTTACCAAGAGCGGAAATATAGGTATTGCCATTGCACCAGTAACATCGCAACACACTTCGCCCAATGATCTTGTGATGGTACATCTACAATTCATCAGTCAGTCTACCAACCATATGACTATAAACAGAACAGCCTATCAAGGAAACTACTTACGGTACCCAGAATCTGCTACTACTAGTGCGATGCCGTATGACTAGTGCCACATCCTAGAAATACATTTTCGGCCTTCCAACCTATTACTCACTATATCATACAATCCATATCAGTATTTTTTTATTTGATAAATTCAAAATAAGAGTCAAGCGTGAGCAGCTTACCTGACTCGTATGGACAATGATTTAGTTACGATAAAAAGCTTATAACGATTTCGTCTACATAATTAATGAATGTATGGTTTTGTTGAATGCCTCCATGGTAGCGTTGTATAGGGCATTATTATCCTTGTGAGATCCGATATAGAATTCCCCGTACGGCAAAAATAAAATCATTCTGTATTTCATTGCAAGGTCCCAAAGTTTTTGAAACTTTAACGAGAATCTAGGCAACAATTGTTGAACGAAATGAGAACTTTCTATTTCAGTTTTCTTGAATTCGAATATCTCATAAGCTGTCCCCTTATACCATTTTGAAAGGTATTCTTTGTTCGGCTTTTTATCATCTTCCCATCCACAGCTTAAGCATTGCCAAAGCAAGACATAAAAGAATGACTCGAGGTCATGGCGGTATGAATGCTCCACAGTGACGCCTGTGCTTTCACAACTGCCACTCAAGATCTCCAGCGCCATGAACTCCATTGTACCGGTCATGGCCTGTCTTTTCTCTTGAGCTTTGCCATCCGTAAGCAAGACGGCTAGGTCCAGGTCAATGACATATCCTTTCCAGTCTTTGTGGGCTTCAGATCCAGTCATGATGATATTATTCGCAGAGATATCACGGTGTAATATTTTTGCTTTCGTCATCAATGACCAGTGAGCCTTGATGGCATCACGCAGTACGGTAACCAGCTCAAGTGGTGATTTCACATTATGTAGCGATCTTCCGTAAGGTGATGTTGCAACAGCTGAGGAATGACGATCTCGTATCTCTGCAAACTTGACCTCTACTTCAGTGTAGGCGTCAACATTATCAGTATCGACCTCGAAATCACCTTCTCCATCTATAAAAGGTATAATGGTGGCGTTTCCGTCCTTAATAGGAACCGTACTTGTAACGAAATCGTCAACAGAAGATGCTTCCTCTACTCTACTGGATAGATGCAGTCTCTTGATCCGTCCGTTGACTTCATCATTCTCTGTGCTCTTCCGTTTCTCTCCGGTAGACTCTGCGTTTCCTCTCAGGGAACTTTCTGTCTTATTGAGCATCCAATTTGCTGGGACGGAAGGTTCTTCTTCTTCGATGATCGCATTTAACGAAATGGTTGGTTTTCCTTCCGTGATGGTATTTCTAGTGAAAGATGCTTGAAATTATTAGTAAAATACTCGACATAATATTTACTGATTCACTTACGTCCATGTGAAGCCTTTGATCTCTTACTAGATCGACCGGTTTCAGTTCCAGAATCGCTTGTCGCACTTTTTCGTTTTGGCGCCCCAGCTATACTTGTGCTCTTGCTTTCACGAAGCATGATACCATCAGTGAACGAGAGCGGTGTGGCCATGGCTATGTCGTCCGGATATGTATTTTTCACCATTTTGTTAGTGAAAATCAGATCCTTTCGAAGATCGCTAATCTTTACGAAATCACGCGATCCCATAAGATTTGCCATACCATCCACGTCTCTCGCAACTTTCAGCAGCTCAGCTTCCGAATGATCCCCGCACATTCTCCAAGAGAACTTGACTGCACAGTCCCCTTCCAAAGTGTGGTAGCAGCTAGTTCCCCTGGATACTAGTGAGGTCTGTTGAGAAACTGGTTTGGGAGAAAGTTTGAACTCACGCTCTTTCTCCGGTCCGCCAACATCCAGGGTGACAGTAATCTGATGGGCCTCATACTTGATATTAGGGTCGAGACCGAGTTCAGCGTCGCTCATTGACATGTATGCCGCCATAACGTAAACAAGCGTCTGCGGCGATTTGCCAATATCAATGTACGAGCCGCAGTACGGCCCTGATCTATCATAAACCCAGAGCAGAAGTGACTTTTTGAAAAGATGGAATGCGTGAGCAAACCGTCGAAGGGGCTGAGCAAAAAAGAGCTCGCGCATTAACACCGATAGCTGGAGAAACTTATCCATGAACACAGTCTGTGTGGACTCCGTAAACTCCCCCACCACGAGTACATCGCGCCAGTGGTGTCGTTCAGAAGTCGGTAGTCCTCGCCGTTTGATAAAGTAATCAACCTGTCGAGCTGTCTGACCACCATCAAATTCGCTGGCTTTGGTACTTCGAAACTGGGTTTTGTTGAGATGGTTTTCATCTTCTTCGGTAGTGGAACTCGATGCTGTTATCGAGGTGGCACAAGTCTTGCTGGATGACTCGAATATTTTACTTTCCACAGCCTTCATCCATTTCCAAACTAATTTTTCCGTGGGTGTTTCTGGGAACTTCAAATCGTCCTCCGCAGATCGCTTCACAAATTCCTTTGCTAGGCCGATACACTTGTCTTCCCACAATTTATTTGTGAAGTACTTTTTCCAAAACCCTTGCACATTTATGTATACCGAGCCATGGAGCTCTCTGCGAAGCAATATTTTTAAACGTTCCATTGTCTGTTCTGTACAAGCTTGAGTTGTACCAGCACGCCTGAAAATTGATTTAGCCGCTAAATTCTCCACCTTTTTTTCTTGGAATGCGAAAATTGACTCAAGCGTATCAACAAGCTGCACTAGAGATTTCCAGATCTCGATATCTGTGGCGTTTGTTAGGATTAGTGACGCCAGGGGCTCGAATGGAGCCAAGTCAAATGAGGTAGATTTTATCCGGTGACGGATGATTTTGAGACGAGATTCTAGATTATCATTACATTGTGGAACTAATTGTCCATCACTGATATAGGTTGAAAAGCCGTCTATCATGTTTCTT